TTTGGAAACATATACTCCCAAGCACATCAATTTAGCATTTATTCTAGTGCAATAACAGTTGTCAAAACAAAACATAATAAACCCGACTAAGCAGTTCCTTAGTCCAGTGGTTTCAACAGAGCTTTACTAAGCACTTCCTTAGTCCAATGGTTTTGAGCAAAGCATCGACTAAACAGTTCTTTAGTCCCAAAATTTCATATAACATAAACATGCAAAATTTGCTCAATCTCATGCTTTTCCCCCATAAAATATACAAAAGCAGTAAAAGTGGGGCCGTAAGAACTCACAAGTTTGATGAAAATCCGAAGGTTTCCTTTAGAAGCTTTCTAGGCTCGCTCGAACTTCCTGACAGACCAAACCAGCGCTACATTACTTAACGGTTTCCTTGCCTAAGGTAGAGCAAACTTGTTTTCAACGCAAAKCCATCAAGTATTTTTATAAAATAAAGCCAATATTTTATTATTTATTAAAAAGAACCTTCCAAAATCCTATTAATGACATCATTAAAAGTCATTCCAAAACAATGATGACAGCCGCCAAATACCAAAATCAAGAAATTTTGAGTGGGTTTAAAACTCTTTTCAAAAAACTCTACAACCTTGAGCCACACGCCTCCAACACCGATTGCATGCACCAAGAATGGTAGCAATGATGGGGAGGGGTCTCAAGCTCAATATTTTCAAGAATTAAATTCTAACACAAAATCATCATTTTCGAACAAACTCCAGAAAACAAATAATTTCTGATTCCAACAAGTTTTCAAGAGGATATATCCGATTAAAGATGCATGCAAGATTCTATCATCCGAAAACATGATCAGACCTTACATGCATGGACTCTCTCCTTCTTTCTTAGAGACTAAAAAACATGGATCACAGATTATCATCCCAATGAAGACACATGCAAGTCTTTGATGAATAATCTCTTCTCTTTAAATCTCATGAATTTACTTAAAGAATCGAGAAGGGATAAGGAATAAAACTTTCGGATTTCTAAGAAAATAGGACAACTCTAAAACATACCTTTTCTTGACAGAAAGACTCGAACAGTTCTTAAAGACATCAAAAACCTTTAAGTTTTGCAAGGAGATTAGAACCGGCTGGAAAGGTGATGGCAATAGAGAGAGAATGGGTGCTGGAAGTTTGGAGAATGAAGATTTCTAAAAGAAGAGGGGTATTTATATGGGGCTTTTTGAGAAGAAATGGGCTGACCTCTAAAGGCCCAAG